CTTTTATAAATTTGTATGGGATTAATTATTAATTATTAAAATAATGCAAATGCAACGGATTCTAGATCCCTGTGTAGGGGAAAAAGGTTTGTCTGTACTTAGATGATTCATAAAGAAACCAATTAAAAAGTAAATTTATTTTAAATTTGATTTATATTACGTTACTATTTAACTGAATATAAGAATAACTCACTCTCCTAAATAAACTAAAACTATAATTTTATGCAAAACGTAAGACTCAATGACAGAAAACAGTAGCGGTATCAGATTACTAATTGCATATTTTTCTTATTCAATTTGTGTAGCCTCTCACCTGACTGATTTGTTGTAATCGGCAACTATACCAGAACCAGATCAGATTAACTAATGCTCCACTTATTAAGAAGCTTTTATAAACTCCACTCATGCTGTCTAAAAAGGAATGCATTAATTTATATTCCACCACCTTACAATCCTAATATTTAAACAACGGAATCTGTATATTAGCCTGATTGCCAGCTATGCTATGTTGTCCGGAGATTAGGTTCCCTTCTCAATAAAACAAAACCCACTTAGGCAACTTATCAGCACAAAATAATCTAGTTAAACATCAATATAATTTGCCATTTTCACATCTTACATAACTTAATGCTTTTCAACCAAATATTCAATTCTGTTAGCTTATGGTAGTATTTCATTATCTTATAAAGCTTAAGATTCTGCTTCCCTTCTCTCTCTAACTGTAGGGAACGACATGTACAGTTGACAACAGTGGTAACAACAATGGAAGTTGCTGAGATGAAACCATCGGTAACAACAATGGTAACTCCTATTAGAACATCTAATACCAACAACAAACCAGAACTTACATTTGCCTTCAGTTAATCTTCACATACTCATGCTATCATATTGCGTTTTAGTTTTTTCTACATTTTACTAATTTGGTAAGAGGAAGGGCATTGTCTATATTCCTTCATACAATAAAAAAGAATCAAATTTTGTACACCTTTTTTCCCTTTACAACAAAAAACGTTTAAAAAGAAGATACAATCTAAAATCTTAATGTATAAAAAAATCATGTCTACACGGTTACACTAGCTAGAGGAAAACAATCCAATTTCCAGTTTCATTCTGTGGTAACAGTATCAGCCACTGAACTTCCTTCTTCTTCTTCCTCATCTTCTTTACAAATAGATTTGCGTTGATTTTGTAATGTATAAGCTTGATAACCGGTTGGACTGCAGAGCTGACCCGAGTTACTGAGAGCAGATTTTTCAATGTCAATCCTCCCAGCAATAAAAGGAATTGGCCTATCCATTAACGAAGGAACCGATTCATCTGTCTCCAGCATTTTAACAACCTGGTCCATTGTTGGTCTAGCATATAGCTGTGGATGAGAACACAACACAGCAATCAACACATACTTCTCAAGAACTTCTGGTGGACCTGGCTCTGGAATGCCATCTTCAACAACATCCAGAGCACTACCGTTTCTAACCAAAGACCAAGCAAAGTCAGTGAGTGCGGAGGGTTGCCCATCATCGTTCGTTTGAAGAGCCTTTTTCCCACTCAAAAGCTCAAGAAGCACCACACCATAACTGAACACATCACTTCTCTCTGTCAACTGTCCATACAAGGCATACTCAGGAGCAACATAACCCATAGTCCCAGCCACTCTAGTGCTCATATGCGTCATTCCCTCTGGGTTGAACTTCGCCAACCCGAAATCCGCCACCTTGGCCTCAAACTTATGGTCCAGAAGTATGTTACTAGCTTTAATATCTCTATGAATGATGGAAGGTTGAGCCCCGTAATGCAAATAAGCCAACCCTCTAGCGGTCCCCAGAGCAATCTTTTGACGAATAGACCAACTGAGATTCTTCTTGGAAGAACCAAATAAATGATCGTAAAGACTCCCATTTTCCATCAAATCAGTGACAATAATCCTCTGGTGCCCCTCTAAATTGGTGGTGGCAGTACAATAACCTCTTAAGGTAACAAGGTTCACATGGCGAACACTCGCAATAACCTCAACTTCGTGAGTGAAGCTAGCATCCCCGGCAACAGAACAATTCTTGAACCTTTTAAAAGCAACTGGACTACCATCCAGCAACATTCCTTTGTAAACGTTCCCATAACCCCCACTCCCGATCATGTTATCCCTGGAGAAGTTCCTAGTAGCCTTCTTAATCTCATCAAAAGTGAACCTAATCAAAGTCGTACTCTGGTTCATGGAATCCAACCCAGAACCCAAACCCAAACCAAGTTCAGATTTTCCAACACCCTTCCCTCCCCCAAACTCGTTCCTCTTCTTGAATCTAATGTAAGTCCAAACCCCAGCAAGAACAAGCAAAGCCACAAAACAGAAAACGGAAACGACGATAATGATGGTTCGGCGCTTACCGCTGGAACCGGGGGAGGAAAAATCGAGGCCGAAGAGGCACTTGGCGGTTCCGGGGTCAGTGGCACCATACTGGTCAGAGAGAGAGGCGGCGTAGATGGAAGTATAGGCTCGGCAATCGGAGACGTTCCCGACGGTTCGGCCGATCAAGTAGGAGAGAAGGGTTGAGATTTTGGTGGTGCAGAGGGCGCAGGGGGAGTTGTTATCGAGGGACTGGTTGCAGTTGCCTTGGACGGCCTGGATTGCGGCGGTGGGGACGGTGGCTTCGAACTGCTGTTTTGTGGTGATGTTCATGCAGCCCTGGGAGATCCACTCGGTTTTGAGGCCGCAGGAGGAGCGGATATCGATGCTCGGGTCGAATTCGTTGATGAAGGACTGGAAGGAGGTCCAGCAGGACTCGGAGGCGTTGAGCGGCGGCACGAAGAGGTTGCTGCGGCGGAGGTAGTCCGCCTGGAGGAGGTGGAGGGCCTGCAAGATGTAATGGCACTGAGTGCCGGAGTCGAAGGAGGGACGGGCGCCGCCGCCCACCACGCGGAGCACCGTGATGTTCAAGGGACAGGGAACGGTGTCGTTGGCGGCCAGAGAAGGAGGCGGAAGAATAAATGAAAGAGAAAAAATAAAACATAGGGAGAAATAAAAGGGAAGGGACATTGCAGTTGGTGTTGTGTGAAGGATGTTTTGTGAGTTTAGAATATGAAGGGAAGATCTGAGAGTGAAGGGTGAGGTGAGAAGAGAGGCTTTGGGTTTGACCAGTGTGGTGGAGTTAGTTACCTGTGTTTTATGAGCTTTGTTTGTTGTTCAAACTTGATCAGCTAACTAAACTCAATTCTCTCATTGTTTATTCATTTTTTCCAAACACCAAAACACATACTACACCACTACCTTCCAAGAACAACACTCTCGTCAAGCTAACCAGAAAATCTCCTTTAACAACCCATTCATTCATTTTTTTATTTTGCCTCCAACTATTACTTTGTCTCTTTCTTTTGCCCAGCGATTACACCCCTTCCATTTCCATTTTCCAATTACCGTTACCAATTTCATTTTTTCTAATAATTTATTTTGGGTAATTCAAGCCCCTCTCCCGACAATCTAAACCTGGCCCACTCAAGGGAAAATGAGTTATGAATACAGACACATACTAATATCTCAAGAAAACGATTAAAAACTCTTTTATTACTTTTACGTGTATTTTTATATATTCTAAAACCTATTTTAATTATTTAATTAGTAAGGTACTTATACGCAACACCTATTTTGGAGCCAACTTTCACACATTTTTATAGCGATATTAGTCATGTGAATACTAAGTAAAAGTAATTATTTTATTGATATTATTTGATATTGTATTACCAATTTTATCATAAGATCTAAAAACCTTATAAATATATATGGTATTTTTTAAAAAATATATACTATTTTATTTATTTTTTCTTACTCATAAAGATCCAAACTTTTTTACAAATTTAAATTTTCGAAGGTAGATTTTTTTCTTATATTCCAATCCTTAGGTGTTTTAGGCTTTAATTTTTCTATGACACCAAATTATTGTCGTAATTTTATACACTTGCTTTCGAGAGGAATGCTTTAACTCGTGATGAAAACAAATATTTAGTAAACACATTTGCTCATTTCTTAGTCTCCATCTTTCTTTTTTCTTAGGCTTAAATACCTACTTAGTCCCCGTGTTAATAGCTGAATTGCCATTTAATAACCGGTTTTAAAAATGAAGACATTAGGTCCCTATATTTTGAAAAGTGTATGACTTTAGTCCTCTCCGTTAAGTTGGTAGTAACGGTGTTAACTCCGCGCTGACGTGGCTACGCTTCTTTTCTCTCTCCTCTGCTCTTCCTGACACCTTCTGCTTTTTATATATTAATGATTTTCATAATTTCTCTCTCACCAAACCTTTCTCTACAACCCCACGCTTGTGGCATTTAGTTGATGCCTGGAAGTCTCACGGTTCAGCACAGAAGCTTGGAGAGCTCTCGGTCCTCCATGCATCTAGCAAACCTCCATGCATCCAGAAAACCTCCATGCATCCAGCAACTTGAAGCAGCTGCAACGGTTGGAAGAAGAAAGAGGTGTGCTTGGCTTTGGAAAAGAAAACAGCAGCTGCAATGTAATTGAAAAAAAAGGAGGCAGCATCTTGAGTGGCGTCTCGGCCTGCAGAATAACAACTTGAAGCCACCACCGGAAAGGTGAAGATCACGGCCTGGCATGGAGAATGAGAGACGCAACGTCTTGGCAAGCAGATGGAAGTTAGAAGTCAGAAGCCAGCAACCGAGAAGAAGAGGAGGAGGCCGTGAGAGTCCAGCAGCCCACACTTGGGACGTTCCAGCAAGCTCACGTCCTTGGTGCTCCAACATCCAGCTTGGAGGTACACGGTGATGGCTGGAAGCTAGGATGAACACGCTGCCAGCAACACGTAGGAAGCAGCCCTCACTGTGCAGCAAGCTTGCAGCAAAGAGTTGGAAGAAGAAGTGATCCAGTATTTCCACAAACAAATGAATGCACTCTAAATACTTCAAATAATTTACATTTTTATATAATCTCCTTTTTATAATTTAAATTTAGAGTGAAAGATCCAGTATTGTTGGTAGATGGGTAAGAGTGAATACTATAAGTGTTGTTGGTAGATGGAATTTGAAGCAGCCAACAGAGCAGCTCCTATGGAAGATCCATCTTTTGTATGTTCTATCACCACATTGTTTGATTTTTCTGACCCTAGCAGCTCTTTCACTGAATCTTGCAAATAAGTCCTGTATTGAGGATAATTTTCGTATAAGCCCCCATCAATGGCAACAACACTTCTGTTTCCATTGCCAAATATGAGACCTCTGTCATCCTCTTCCATTTTCTGTAGAATCCCCACAATTCCTGCACCAGCTAACCTCCCTCCTCTATCATGAAAATCATTAATATACAAAAAGCAGAAAGGTGTCAAGAAGAGCAAAGGAGAGAGAAAAGAAGCGTAGCCACGTCAGCGCGGAGTTAACACCGTTACTACAAACTTAACGGAAAAGACTAAAGTCATACACTTTTCAAAATATAGGGACCTAATGTCTTCATTTTTAAAACCGGGTATTAANGATCCAGTATTGTTGGTAGATGGGTTAGAGTGAATACTATAAGTGTTGTTGGTAGATGGAATTTGAAGCAGCCAACAGAGCAGCTCCTATGGAAGATCCATCTTTTGTATGTTCTATCACCACATTGTTTGATTTTTCTGACCCTAGCAGCTCTTTCACTGAATCTTGCAAATAAGTCCTGTATTGAGGATAATTTTCGTATAAGCCCCCATCAATGGCAACAACACTTCTGTTTCCATTGCCAAATATGAGACCTCTGTCATCCTCTTCCATTTTCTGTAGAATCCCCACAATTCCTGCACCAGCTAACCTCCCTCCTCTATCATGAAAATCATTAATATACAAAAAGCAGAAAGGTGTCAAGAAGAGCAAAGGAGAGAGAAAAGAAGCGTAGCCACGTCAGCGCGGAGTTAACACCGTTACTACTAACTTAACGGACATGACTAAAGTCATACACTTTTCAAAATATAGGGACCTAATGTCTTCATTTTTAAAACCGGGTATTAAATGGCAATTCAGCTATTAACACGGGGACTAAGTAGGTATTTAAGCCTTTTTCTTATTTAGTTGAAGAATTCGAATGTTGAAGATAAGAAATAAAAAAAGAAGGCCAACGAAGAAGAAATTGTCTTATTAGAGACTTGCTTCAATCCCAAGTTAAAACATTCCAATCAAGAGAAAGTGTATGAAATTTCAGTGAAACTTCAGTGTCATGAAAAAATTAAAGATTATACTGTTTACTGTTGGTTTCAAAACTATGTATGTTGATCAAAAGAATGGTGCATAAGACAAAACGTCGTCACATCTAATTCCTTCCATCCTTTTTGTCATTCCTTATAAATGATAAGTTCTTTTGGGTTTTAGTCATTTTTTCTTTTTTTTTATTATACTTTATTTTGATTTTGTTTTTCTTTTAATTTTTAATTTTTTAAGTCTTGTTTCTTTTTATTTATGCAAATGAAGATACTTTTGGAGCAACTTCGCCTATTTTAACACTCGTAACCTTGGACTTTTTGTTCGATTTCTCTTGTACATGTCGAAAAAGAGGTAATCTTTTTGTGTCACTTCCTGTCAAATCTTTCTTGACAGAATTATGTCTGAAACTACCTTTTTCGAATCAATACTCTTCTTGGAGAGACTACGACATGTTATTTTTTGTGTGTATTTTTTATTGTTTTTTATTTGTTTGTCTTTTGTCAGCCATTTGTAATTGTATTTGTACAATTTTGTGTAATATGTACATTTAGATAACCATTTAATTTTTTTTGTATTTTTATTATGTGTTTTTTTATGTTGTAATAAGAAAATTATTTGAACAACATATTTTTTTCTTTTTGTGTTTATTAAATTTGTGATTTAGAACAACACAATAATTCTTGAGATTTGTCAATTGTTGACTCTAATTTGATTATCAACTAATTGTCTCTTGTAAGTATCGCATGGAAGAAAAATCTCGTAGATTTACATAGTTACTAATGACAATCTTCTTTAAATCCCATATATTTTTATTTATTTTTTCTTTTTGTTTTGTTGGTCACGTGAGGCTTGTCAAGAATCCAAGTGTGACTCCAAGTTCCGAAGACACATTAACTCATTGTCTTAACGTTTTGGATAGAGAATGATGTCAATCTTTTATGTGCTTAGACTCACATCTCACCGACGTTGTATCCCCTTGTGAACCTATTTCTTTATGTACATGTTTGAAAATTGATATAAACTAATTTGAATTTTTTTGTTATCTTAGTTATGTCTTCTTCTTTGTTTTTTTTAATTTAATAATTCTTTGGTCTGATAAATTTATTTAAAAATGTTCAATTTATCATTTGTTTCAAAATATTATTTGAATAACACGCATGGAATCACTCAAGGTCTTTAAAAGAGTTTAAAGTATGGATTACGAACAAATGCAACTACTCCAATTTGAATTTTCAAACTAGGGAAATGAATTATGGTAGGAAAAGAATGGTTGAGATTTAAATTCAAAAGTAAAGTATATGGTAGGAAACAAAGATAGAGTCGATGAAGAATGGAAGAGATGCCTCTTGTCTAACCAACTTTTGATATAAATTTTGGAGTTTTGAAACACAATAATCAAAAATAATTTTTTCCAATGCTAGAAAACAAATATCTGAATAAATTGTTTTAAATTATATTTTTTTCAAATTTTTCTGAAAAAACTTGCTAGCATGCCAGAATATTTTCCTCCAAATTAAAATTTTTGAAAGATAACAATCAATCTTTGATCCATGTGAACTTTATTAAACTTGTATCATAGTATAAAAGTGGATATTAAAGGCCTAAAGTTGATGTGTTGGTTATTTAGAACAAGAGTATATGAATAATGTTGCATCTAATGTATGATTTTTCTTCGATCACCCTTTTTTTCTATTTTTTTTTCTCAAAAAGATTTTCTTTCTTTTTCATACCAATTTTTTTTTATTGTTAAACTATGTATTGGATAAATAGAATGCAAATATTATGTCAACTTCTTCAAGATAATTTGAAATATATATATATATATATATATATATATAAATATATAAATTAAGACTCAAAATGGGTATGAAGAAATGATAATTTTTGTTTTTAAGATGAAGAAACATTATTCACACATCATCTTAAATCATAGTTATTTTATTTTCCAATGTCTTAATTCACAAGAAAAATAAAATTTAGTTACGACAAATTACACTTATTTTGCCTTTTTTATTTTATTATTTATTTATTTATATGCATTTTTTTATTTTTATCTTGTTCGAAGATTTGCTTACTAACATTTTAAAGTTATTAAGAAGTGAACTTTAAGCCTAACTCAATCTTATAAAACTAAAGGTGAAATTTGCACTCACATATATATTATAAATTGGTTTTATTTCTAGTCGATGTGAAACTTCTAACACAAAGGTCATGTCACTTATACATGATTTTTTATAGACAAAAAGTTAATAATAAAAAGTGATGGAAAAGGTTGTATTTGAAAATTACATGTCTTGTTGTAATTAAGAAACTTATGTCATGCAATTCTAATAAATGATTCAAAATCAATAATAATCATCTTTGTTTTATTTTATTTATTGACTGATTTAACCAAATAATATTTATTTTTCCCCATTTATTTATTTTTTAATTTTTTCAATTTTTTTATAGAAATGATTTATGGATTCGGTAAAAAAAATGCAAAATAATTAAATATAAATTAATTAAGCTATAATATTTTCTGTTTGATTTTTTTATCATGCTATATTTATGATTATATATCAAAGCCATGAGTTATAACCTATCCTAGTGAAATTTTTCGTTTGTTCAACCTATTGTGTCACCCGCTATCATGAAATTTGTTGTTTGTTGGACATATTATTTCACTCACTAAAAACTCCATTTTACAAGTTGGTTTTGTGAAGTTAACTTAGGCTTAGAGTCCATTTATTAATATTTATCTACAATAATTTATCCAAAACACTTGTTTAATTTCTTTAAGATTTATTTGAAACCATATAATGATTTTCTTAATTTATAAAAATAATAATTTTTCCTTTTATATCAATTTCTTTTGCAAATAGCTCATTAATATCACTATACAAGAAAGTTGTCTTAGCATTCATCTATTATAGCTTAAGATTAAGCTTAACAGCTATGAAAAAAAAATGACTACATGTTTCACTACTTGAAAGGATAAATCATTATAATTAAACCAAGTTCTTTTACTAAAATATCTAACCATCAATCTTGACTTAAATTGTTCTTGATCCAATCCTAAATTTTCATTCTTTTATTTAAAGATTTATTTACAATTGAAGTAATTACATTCAATGCATGAAATAACTAAATTCAACAATATCACAAAACAAACATCACAAACAATCAAATAATAAAAATAGGAGTCAACAAAAAAAGAACATAGAATTTAGCATGATTCTATTAGATTTATAGGATAAAAGTAGTATTTTGTTTTTACTATATAGAATGTTCGTACTAAAATCCAACAAATGTAATATTGAGAGCCCAAAAATGTATTTAAGTTATAATTTTATCAAACTTATAATCTCTTCTTCCTCTTTCACTTTTATCGTTAGTTTGGTAAGACAAGATTGTTTAGGAACCCTTTATTTTAAAGTTTAACAAAAACGTTTAACGAAATAATGTCTATCAAAATGATCGTTTATGATAACGCATTAAACGATATTTATGGCTCGACAATATCCTAAATGAAAATAATATAGACTACTTTAAACGATTTGATAAATAGACTAGCATAAATGTTATAGTACAAGGACTACACTAAACTCCATAATAAACATATAATGTTTTAAATCCAAATATACGAATAATATTTTTTGTTTGTTGTGTTGTTTCTCTTTATCTATGCAGATCCATAAAGGATAAATGCTTTATTAAAAAATTATGCGTTGATTCAGAAGAACTTTAAGAGACAGGAAGACATTTTGATAATGTTTCATTAATGCTTTTTGTCTGCCCAATTTGTACGAGTAGTAGAATTGCCTCTACAAGAGCAACATAGCATTTGGCCTCGTACAAAAGGCTACACACCTACATCAAAGTCAATGTTTCTAAGTAATAGATCTTTCTTGAAGTTTTCTATATAAAGAAGACCACATGAAAAGAAGAAAATCAACAACAACTACGTAAGATCTAGGAAAATAGGGGTCTTAAAAATAAAGTAGTTTTGAGACTTTGAGTTTTTGTTTGGAAATTAGTGTTCTTGTATATTTTTATTATAGCATAATTGTTATGTTATTTCTTTATTTTTATATTTTTTGCCTAGGGGCAAATGAGTTTTTTATCTTTATTTAATTGGTATAGAAATTAATTTAGGGGGTGTAGAAAGAAAAAACATGCAAATTAAATAATCTGAATATTTAATAAAATGATATTATGAAAATCTTTTAGAAGATTTAGTTGTTGTTATTTAAAAAATAGTTGAAAGAAAATAGGAGATATAATGTTGGTAGGTTTAGAGATTAAAAGAGATGTTATTATTAGAAAAAGATATTATTAGATATTCTTAGATATTCTTGGATATGGTTATATAGTTACAAATTAAAATATATCTTGAGATGTTGTTAATTAAAAGATATCTTGGGACATTATTATATATAATTAGATATTATTGTTAGATAATATTAATAAAATATAATGCATTATTTAGGAACGTATCATAATCTATTAGAATAAAAATATTAAGATAGAATACATTATCTAAGGACTTATAAGAATTAATTAAGTTAAAGATAAATTTATTTTATCTTATCTATATCTTTTATTTTAGTTGGTTGTTATTACTCATTATGGACTTTTATTATAAATAAAGTACCCTATGTATATTCTATACCTAGTTGTAACTATATTAGACACTTCCTATAGAAACTATAGTCATTAGGAAAATAAGACAGAAACCTAAATCTGAAAGGTGAAAGAAAAAGAGAGAGAGAGAGAGATTCTTAAAGAGAAGAAAAGAATTAGCTGCAGAAAGTGTTAGTACAAAGGGAGATTTGTTGTGATCCTTAGGGTGTGTATAAAGCCTTAGTATTAGCCAAGGTAAGGGGAACTTACATTCCTTATTTGTTTTCTTGTTTTCTTTTCTTGCCTTGTTTGTATGTGTACATGCTTAATTGAATAAAATTGGTGTTTGTTTTGGTAAATACATGTTATTGAATGTGTATTGATTTGTGATGCGAATATGAAACTATGTTATTTCCTTGTACTTGGTCGATCATGTGTGAGCTTTTCGTAATGTGCTACGTTAAAGATGTTGGAGTCTCGTGTAGAGACAAAGATTCAAGTGTCACTTCCTTCTGCGTGAGGAGGTGCATGTCTCACCCAAAAGGCTTCGGCTTGACTGAGTATAGTGCACTAATGCATCTGGTATCAGTTTACTCGTTAGTTCTTGAGAAGCTGGGGAGATATGTCTGAAGTTGCGATGGAAAATGACTCGAATCGCCCTATTAGTGAGAACATGCTATGAAGACACAATACAAGGAAACGACATTGGCTTATGATTGTTTGGTTGAGATATTATTTATGTGATGAAATATGATTCCATGGCTATCTTATTATGTGTTAAAATGATTGTTGTATATTGTATGTTATGATATTTTTGGTTGCTCACTCTTGCATGATGTGGTTGTGGTTTCCACCTACGATGATCGTTTTATACGGGAGTAGATGATCATGTAGTTAATTCAGATGTTGTATAGCGCGCCGAGTGGATTGAGGGAGTTGGAGAATTTATGGTTGTTTGAATAAACTATTTTATATGGAGTTTTATTTTATAATTAAATTAGAATTTTGGTTTATTTTTCTAGAATTGTAATGACTTATAAATTTGGATTTCCATAATAGTATTATGATTTTAAAAATTTTAAATTTTCACTTGTAATCGTGACATCTCAAAATTAGGGTGTTACAAACTACTCATATTATCACGCTGCCAAAATTCTCTTGTTGTTGTGTCATCTAGCTTTTTGAAAAAGAAAATTATATTTAACAAGTTTTCCATATATACTTTGTATTGATCTAAATCATCTCTAAGAGAGCTTTTCAACCTGTACTTTAAACAAAAAAACGCTTTGTTGCTTTTGGATAATTAACTAAGAGTAAGTTAAAGAGTTTTGGGCAATTGGACTAGTGAAAAATCATGAGTGGTGAAACTCGTAAAATTAAGAATGGTGAAAGTCGTTCTAACTTTTTAAAATTAATAAAATCTTTTAAAAGTATTTAAAGAAAAACTAGACGAAGTTTAATTGGTATGAATCAATATAAAAATTTGCTTTTTTTGGTGTATTTCTAAAGACTCTAAAAAATTGTCAAAGTGTTCAACCCCTATAAATAACATCTAACATTAATTGCAAACAGTTTTCCAAACTCGTGCAAACCCTCCTTTTTAGAATTTGTGTGTTATTTCATAGTCAACTTATGTCTCCTTACCATCCACTCGGTTCAATGGCGTAGCTTAAAAGACTCGGGTTTGCCTCTTCAATTTTTTTTTACTGTTTTTACATATGTAAATTATAATATAAATATATATTTTTTTAATTTTAGTATATTTTATATAGTTTATATCTCCAAAAATTGTATAAATCTGTCTTGAAACTTCCAAAATATTTTGTGAAAATTAACTTAAAAGTTTTGAACAACTAATTAGTTTTCAGTTTTAAACTTCGTCGTCTTTAAGCTAACATTCAAGTCCTTGTTAAAAAAAAACAACATAAGTACCAAAATCTTTCTCACATGGCATGATAAGTAAAAAACACTAATCCTAACCAATATGAATGTTAATACTGCTTAAACCCCAAGCAAAACCCGCATAGAAAGAGAGGGACATGGTGCTTATGAAATTATCCACAGAAACGATTTAACACATACGCACGGTGAATTGCCGACAAACAGTAACATGTTTTTAACTTTTATCGCTACAAACAGAACATTATTATTATACACGACAAATCTTCGATAAATGAAGCCAAGGTTGGGTTGGGTTGCTATAAGCAACAATCCCAATATCCAAGAGGAGACCACAAACACCAAAGAACCTACCGTGACCATGGCCAGTAAAGCCATTCTTTTCTTCACTTCTGTCTCTTTCTTCGTCCCCCACAATTCAAATACACACTCTATCACACATTTATATATAGTTTACAAAGAAAAAAAAGATTAAAAAAAATAATAATAATAAAGCCAAAGAAATATTGCATTTCTTTTCTTCTTCTCTACGTGACAGATGATATGATAATCCGCAATGATAACAGTCTACCATTGATTCTGATCATCCAGTAGTTCACTTTTGAGGGAAAGGGTCATAAATTTATTTTGCTCAGACAATTAAACTGGAAAACGACATCGCAAGAAGCTTGAAGTTGGTTGAATGTAGAAGGCGAAGTAATAACTAATGTTGATGTCTGCCTCTTCGTTCATGCTTCTGTCTCCTGGTCTCCCAACCCTCATTGCTACAACTCCCAAGAAAACAAAAAGTAATTAGTTAAGTAGTCAAATTCAAAATATTGCCTTTATGGCACCCCAGCTACCCCACTTTTACTTCAACCATGAGATGTTTGATTAAATTTCTTTCGTCCTTGCTGAGGATTTATTTCGTCTTGTGGGTAACTGAGATGTTGTGTTGCCATGTGATTTCAGTGCCACTGTTTCGATACTTTAGTTGTTGCGTTGCTTTCACCTCTGCCTCGAGTTTCGTTCATTCTTACATTGGCACTTGGTTTTTCAGAATTGTTTTCTAGGAAAATTCTTTTGAATTGAAAGCTCCGTGCAGTTAAATTAACTCCCACAACCGTTCCCCACAGTTTGGCTTCTTAGATTTTTAAGTCGTGTTGGATTTTCATTTTCTAGTTGACGGTTCGCTTCTAATTCCTCGTCTCATTTGCGATGCGTTTTCTGTTTCATCAAGTTTCACATTTTCCTGGTGGTTTTGGATTTGGATTTGTAACTTGTTCTCTTTAGGTTCTGGGTTTGAGTCGTAGAAAATGGAGGACGAGGTGGATTCCCCTGTTGGTGTTCTTGAGGATTATTTTTTCAAGAGTTCAGAATCAGAAACTAGTTCTTCCAAAGAACCTGGTACCTCGGATTCTGATAAGTCAAAGCTCGGTTCTAGGTGGCATGCGTTTCTTCAATTGTTGAGGGTCAAATCGAAGAAGCCGGTGGCCACATTGTATCCTCTGACTGTCCTCAAACTCTCCAGAAGATTCACCAGTGGCAGGAGGGAGACTGTGATAGATGCTTCTTCCTTTCATAGTTCACCCTGGAAGATCTTCACTCACCATGAGATACAAATTGCAACCAATTACTTCTCCCAAGGTATGAAACATGCTTAATGGATGATTACATTAATGTTATCCTGTTAAAAGTTGTTGCAGATGTTTACTTCATTTCCCTTTTACAATAATCACCTGATATTGGTGGATTTGTTAACTTACTTAAAATAAAAACGAAGTTAAGCAATCTCAATCAAACTTATTGATGCATTTCCCTTGTCTACTTTAACACGGTTGGTTGCAGATATCAATTGCATCAATATTTTTTCTATTTTCACTCATAACAACTTTCTTTTTGTTTATTCTTTAGAGGTTAACATGCCTGTTACAGAGATTAAACTCATTACATTGGTGGTGCAGAAAATTGTATTGGAAAAGGTGGTTATGCCGAGGTTTACAAAGGGTGTTTGCCAAATGGTCAGCTGGTGGCGATTAAACGATTGGCACGTGGAGCAGAAAACGAAACTACAGAGGACTTCTTATCAGAACTTGGCATAATGGCTCATGTAAACCATCCCAATACTGCTAAATTAGTTGGCTATGGAGTGGAGGGAGGAATGCATTTAGTGCTTGAGTTGTCTGAAAAAGGGTGCTTAGCTTCAGTGCTGAATGGTTGGGTCAATTTTACTTTGCTATCGACACAGTTCTTAGCATTTGAGTAAAATTTTACTGTTATTAATAATTAATATCTCACTGCTGCTAGGTTCCAAGGAGAAGCTACCATGGCCTGTCAGGCAGAAAATAGCATTAGGAACAGCCAAGGGTATATTGTATCTTCACGAAGGTTGTCAAAGAAGAATTATTCACAGAGATATAAAAGCATCAAATATCTTGCTTACTGAGGACTTTGAGCCGCAGGTATGGATATGACTTTGGATTCTTTCCGTGCAGATTTGATTCTATGGTTAATCACCACATATTCACTCTTTTGGCATTTTTTTTATGGTTTGTGAAGACAAAAATGTTTTGGAAGATCCCTGATTTGTTAGGACTGAAGTTAAGAAACCTGTCTATTTTCCCTTTTGTACTGTAACAAAAACCGGCATTGTACGTAAGTGAACATCATTTCTGCATAATGGTATGGCAATAATAAACTTCTGAAAAGTTGAGAAATTTTTCGTGCAGATTTGTGATTTCGGGCTAGCAAAATGGCTACCAGAGAATTGGACCCACCACACCGTTTCAAAAATCGAAGGGACTTTTGGGTTTGTTGTCACGTTCTCATTAAATGATTTGTACTCTTTTGTAACATGCTATTAACTCAATTTTCAATTATGACTACTACACAGTTACCTTGCTCCAGAATACTTGCTTCATGGGATAGTGGATGAGAAAACAGATGTGTTTGCCTTTGGTGTAGTGCTATTAGAATTAGTCACTGGACGAAGAGCACTTGATTATTCACAACAAAGCCTTGTTTTGTGGGTATGTTGAGCTATTCAACCAAAGAACAAACTAGAAATAAAAATGTGTGCTTGTACCTCTGACAAGGGAAGTTTCTTATACTTTTGCAGGCAGAACCTTTTCTGAAAAAGAATAATATCAGGGAGCTGATCGATCCTTCACTTGATGATGTTTTTGACAGTCGGCAGATTAAAATTATGGTTTTCACAGCTTCTTTATGCATTCAACAATCCTCTATTCGTCGCCCCTCTATGAACCAGGCACGTTCTCTTGTTCTCCTCAAATTTCAAAACAAAACAATCTTTTCACCTTCAAATTTAGAATAACTGTTTCACCTTGTTTTTTACAATGTTGTTTACCTCACTCAATTGATAAACCTTAGGAAAATGGAACCCTTTTGCTTGATTGTGGCAAAGTTCATCACTTTGCGATTGACCTATTGGTGCAGGTTGTACAGCTTCTGAATGGTAACGTTAGCTGCTCTAGCTTCACCAAGAAATCTCAACTTCCATTCACTCGAAAGGACTTTCTAGAAGAGTTCATTGATTCTGATTAATTGAAAGGAACATAAATCATTAGAGACAGCAACACTAAATTGTTATTAAATGATGACAGCGATGTATCTCATTTTCATTTTTTCTCAGGAAAAGGAAAAACAAAAGCTGTTTTTCCCCAACACGTGATTAAAGGGATTGGAGTTTTTACACAGACTCAAACCGAATATTCTGAAGTCTATATAGTCTAAACTATTGATTTTTGTGAAGTATTCAAAATGCTTAAATTATTATCACTTCAAAGAAATATATATATATATATATATATATATATATA